GAGGAGGTCTGCGTCCCGCCCCCCCGCCGGTCTGGAGTGTGATTGGAGCCGGGACCGGCGGCGGGACGATAAAAAGGGCGGCGGGCGGTGGTGGCCGGGCCAGGCGGCGGCGGCAGCGATGCCGGGCCGGGCGGAGCCGTCGGGGGGACGCGCGGCGGCGGGGCCGGTGGCGGTGCCCGTACCGGTGACACCCGGGGCGGCGGCGCGACCGGGAGGAGCGGGGCTGCGGGCCAAGGGCTTCGCCATCACCGACCTGCTGGGGCTGGAAGCCGAGCTGCAGCCGCCCCCCGGGCCCCCCGCGGCCGCCACCGCCGGTGGCTACGAGGGCGGCGGGGCGCTGGGGCTGGGGCTGGGGCTGCTGTGCAGCCTCGGGGGGCCGGGCGCCCCGTGCCTGCTGCCAGCCCCGCTGCCGCTCCTGCCCGCCCGCGGCCCCCGCCCGCCTCCCGGGCCTCCTCCCGCCGCCCGCCGCCACAAGGAGAACATCTCCGGTGAGCGGGGTCGGGGTCGAGGGTGGCCGCTCAGGCGCGCACGGGGACCCCGGTCCGGAGCCGCTGCCGGGGCTGCCTCGCACCTGCGGCCGCGGCCAGCATCCTCCCGCCGGTGCGCCATCGGCTCCCGTGCTACCCGTCCCGGGATGCCGAGCCTTCGACCCTCCGGCAAGCGTGGGCTCCCACCCCCTGTCCCGGGATGGCACCACCGGTGCGGCGCCTCGGGCTCAGCTGTGGGAGGGAACCCCTCCCTGCCCCGGGCCCGCTCCCCGCGGGCGGCTGGAACCGTGTTTGGGGAGCTGCGTTCGGTTGCCCCGCTCTCGACGGGAACGTGACTCTTCCCCTCCCGCATGCTGCTGCCAGATGAGGACAGCCTGTCTGGGGACGCCAGCGACCTGAAGATGTCCACCTCCCAGATCAAGAGGAAGAAACGCCGGCACAGGTAGAACCCGGGAGCCAGGCTGTCCCTGTTCTCACCTGCTGGCTGCTGCCACCATCCTCGCGCTGTTCCCCTGATCCCCAGGCTGGGGCGGTCGGTGTCCCCAAGGGAAATAAAGGGAGGAAACGGAGGAAAGAGGAGGGCTGCAGCTGGGAGGGAGGATTTTCCGGAGGAAAACCTCAGCGTGGGGGGGCTTGCCAGCCTCGCTGTTTGCCCAAGGGTCTGGTCGGTGTGACAGGATGCTCTCTCCTCTCGGCAGGACCGTATTCACAGCTCACCAGCTGGAGGAGCTGGAGAAGGCTTTCAATGAAGCGCACTACCCCGACGTCTACGCCCGGGAGATGCTGGCTGTGAAGACGGAGCTGCCGGAGGACAGGATACAGGTAGGTGGCTGCAGAGGTCCTCTCTCTTCCGTAGAGTCTGCGGGCTGCCAGAATCCGGCCGTCTCTGCTCTGTGGCAGTGGTGCAGATGGTGGGAACGTGGTGTCACTGAAACGCTGCAGGGCGCCCGGGGGGAGGCTCAGCTTCTGCCTGCTGGCATTGAACAGCCTCCAAATGGACACGCAGAACCAGGGGACTAGGATGGCCCCAGCAGTTGTGCACTGCTGGCAACTTGGCTGTGTCCTCCCACTCAGGCAGGAGCTGGGAGCAATTTGGAGCTGCTGGGCCAAGCTGTGACACAGGAGGAAGGGAGCTTTCCCCTTTGCGGGACACGTGGCATTTTAGGGCCTGCTATGGAACAGCTCAGCAGCTTAAGAATGAGGTGGTGGTCTGGGCAGCAGCCCAGTTATATCTACACCCCTCAAACCTTCAAATACATGAGTGGGGTGGGAAGGGGGACCTGAGCACCTTCTGTCATCGTTGGTCACTGCATTCCGGAGCCCTTTTTCTGGAGAGGCTAGTGCTTTATGAATCAGGTGGGGCGGCCCTGCGGGCAGATGGAGCAGCGTAGGGTGACTTCGGCTGGGATCACCCTCGTGTTAATATGTGCTCCCTCTCCCCCCCTTCCTCCCCTCTCTGACACCCACGTGTGTGCCCTCCCTCACACCCCTCCCCACACGCCGCCCTGGCTGCCCTCCTGGTGCCGCCTGCATGTCCACACCCTGTGTCTGCCCACCCAACCCCTCCACACACCCCCACGGCTGATCTTTTGCCCTGGATGGACATTCCCCTGCTCCCGATGGGCCCTGGACACCCGGCCACGGGGGCTGTCTCCTCCCCAATCCCACCCCTCCGTGCTCTCCTGGCTGTTACCCCTGAAGGTTTGGTTTCAGAACCGAAGAGCCAAGTGGCGGAAGCGGGAGAAGTGCTGGGGCCGGAGCAGCGTGATGGCCGAGTACGGCCTCTATGGGGCCATGGTGAGGCATTCCATCCCTCTGCCCGAGTCCATCATCAACTCCGCCAAGAGTGGGCTGGTGGGATCCTGTGCCCCATGGCTGCTGGGTGAGTGGGAACTTGGGATGCTGCTGGGGGGATCAGGGCTCAGCTTCCTCTTTCATACGGCTGCCCTTGCCTTTTTACAGAAAGGAGTGGGGCCTCCCCAGCCCTGAGCTGTACGCAGGCTGCCAAGTGCCCTGGGTTTTCCACTTCCTCCCTGCAAAGCACAGCTAGGAAAAGGAAAACCTTTTACTGCTATGTTAGACAGGTGCCTGCACATGGGTGGGTATCACTCTGCAGTGGTACCAGGCACCATGGGAGTTGCAAAGGCATCTAAGAAGTCACTACCACCAACCCCTAAACTGAGGGTACCTCAGAGCTACCCTGTGCTCATACACAGTCAAAATCCAGGTTGGAATGGGTCATTACAGCACCTCTCCCAGTAAGTCTTCCCTCTTTCAGGGGAGGTACAGACTAACGTTGCCACAAGCTATCCCCTCTGGCTGCAGAGAACAGGTGACAGGGCTCTGAGCTGGGAAAGGCTGGAAGCTTGAGAGAGCTTTCCTTGGGATGCAGGCAGGAACTGAAGAAGTAGCAATAATGCAGGAGGTGATTCTGAGCTGTCCCAGGCAGAAATAAGCAACCAGTGCCCTTTGCTTTGCTCTCTCCCCTCTGTAAGGTATGCACAAAAAGTCCATGGAGGTAAGCAGGAAGGCAGAGAGCCAAGAGAAGCTGGCAGATGGCTGGCGAATGGAGCAGGAGGAGGAGGAACTCAAAGGGACGCAGGCCAGTTCCCAGAGGGGCTCCGACAAGCTTGGGCCTGCAAAAGACTCTGAGGACACAGCCATCGACCTCTCCAGGACAGCCAAGCATGAGAAGAGGGGTGTGCTGAGGCAGTACATCAACGGGGATCCCCCCACAGAGCAGAACGAGAGGGACCACTGAGCTTGGGCTGCTGCGGAGGAGGCCAGACCTCACAGTGTCCTGGCGAGACCATAATATTTATTGATTTATTGATATATATATATATTTTTCTTAAATAACAGAACTTTTATCTGAATTCAGGGCATTTTAAAACTGGGCACACACATCCCCTTGTCCCCTCACTTTCAAGCTGTTCACTTCTCAGCAGAGCCAGGGTGGAGGGTGGCAGAGGGGTCCCAGTGGGGCCAAGAGCAGTGTGAGGATGGGAGCGCATTGTGGTCAGCACCAATTGCTGCTGGGGAGGAACCCCTTTCCCCTCCGTGCTGGGACCACTTCCCCAGCTAGCCAGAAGCACAAAGAGGAGCAACACACTGGGAGTTGCTCCCTCCTCCAACACGCAGGTGCAAGGATGGTGCAGTTTACAGACGCCTTCTTCCAAGCGCTTCCAGCAGCGCCTGTGTGCAAGTCCTTCCACGCCGAGCACACAATTCTTCCACCTCGAGGAGCAGCAGGGTTTTTAAACATGGTAGGGTTCATCCTCAAGCTGGTGTAACCTGACAGAGAGGCAGGTTTATACTCCCTGAGGATCTAGCCTGCCAATGCAGCCTTATCATTGGATTTACACTGTGTATCTTCCTTAACTCATATTTGGGAGAAGGGGGTAAGGATGTATTTGTTTATGCAATGATTTTGTACACTCTTGAATGTCACTTACCACTCTATGAATGATAGAACAGACCTTTTTGAAAAGCAAGCCATAGTACCCTGGAGCAATTAAACAATTTTGTGAATTGACATAAGAAGATATTTTGTAATTGTCTGTAAAAAGTGTTAATGTCAGAGCTGTTTCTTGGTCACCCTATATTTATGTCTAAAAGCACTTTAGTAATCTGGATTTTTGAATGTGGCTCTTCCTGTATTGTCCACCATTTATTTATTACACGTCCATAAATAAAATTGTGGTGTATCTTTGGTTTTCATGCTCTGTATTGCAATTTATACCTTCCTTTGACACATCTCCTGGCAGTTGCTGAACTGGCCCATGCACATGCCTTGACAGTTCTCCTGGACCACCTCCAGTTTCATCTAACAACCAAAACATAATGGAAAATTATCAAATGGTTTTATTAAAATCTGAACAATTCCAGTTTAGAAAGTGTCCTAATACAGCTCAGGGGCTGTGTGGCCAGGTACTGATGCTGTCACCTGGTCCTGCCTCTGCTGCTGGGTCTGGCTGCTCTCACAGACGCAGCACAGGCTGTGCTGGACAGGGGAAGAGTGGGGGGACAGTTCCTGGGAAGAGCAGAGCAATAAGTGGGCATGTGCAGATTTCCTGCCTTTCCCCCCCTTTGCTTGCCCAGACCCCACCAGGAGGCCGGGGAGGAGGGGTAACATATGCATGGCAAATACAAGCTTTGCAGCAAAAAAAATCAAAACTGTTTGCTTGGGGGGGCTGTGGGGAGCACGGTTCAGGAAAGGACCAGCCAGGGCTTATTGCAGCAGCAATTAGGCTCACTGAGAGCCGAGACTTAGCACATTGGAGACCTAATCCTGCCTGAGCAGCATCTGCAAACCTTTTATTTGGGCTGTGCCACGCTGGCACTGGATGCTTGCAATCCCTTTTTCTATTTTTTTTTTTCCCCTTTGGTCTGCCTGCGTGCAGATGGCCTGGCTCTTTGCCTTGTGCTGGCTGCAGCGCTGTGAGAGCAAGCACGTCACCACCACAAGTGCTACAAGGGGAGACACTGTAGTTCCAGCATGCACAGGGTGCAGACCACTCACGTTCCTGGTAGTGCCTGGTGGGCTCCCAGCTCTCACCATATGCTGGGAAGGAGGAGCCAAGAGGAGGGCTACTGGCCAGAGGCACTTTTCATGTGCTGGGAAGTGGCTGTGGGGCACAGATGCTGGAGGATGGCAGTGACTGCCGAGGCTCAGCTCCTGGTGACAGGGTCTGGTGCCCTCCTTAGAGCAGGGAGTCACTCGACTCTTAGCTGCCTGCGCTAACCCTGGCAGGGAAGTGTCCACTGTCCCCCAACATCAGTGCTTGGAGCAGCAATAGGAGCAGGGCAGCACATTCTTCATGTTGCTTTAGGTTTGATCCAACCTGAGATCAGTGGCACCCAGAGCCAGCCATGGCTCCTGCCAGTGCTCATTCAGGCCCGGGCCAGTGACAAGAGTGTGACAGGAGAAACCCTGATGTCACTGGTCACCTGGCTGCCACTTGCACACATCTCCACTGATGCCCATGTGAGACCCTGCAGCCGTCCTGGTGACCACATCAGGGCCCGGTGCCATGAGCTTCCCTTTGTAAGGAGCCCTGGGGGTCCCTCAGCCACAAGCGTTGTGCTTGTTCAAGCAAGAGATCCCTTCCATGTGGCCCAGGCAAGAGAAGACAGTAAATTCAAAGCCAGTGTTTGGCACATGCAGATCTCTTCACTGACTGGAAGCTGACTGTCAGGCACCTGCGGGTGCAATGGAGCGCTGGGGGTGTCCCAGTGATGGGCCCAGAGCAGAAAAGGCTGCAAGGCTGCACTTGCGGCAGCATCTTCATGGTGCCATTTCCGTACAGCTTTAGCACTATTAATATCTAACTGTGTCGCTTTGTTTTGGCCAATCCTCCCAAGCCGCAGGCTGGATTTTCTGACTGGCACCTCAGGGAGCGGGTCCGAACGCTTTGTAAGCGCTCCCTCGTGTGGAGCAGGGCGATGGGACACGGCGAGCAGCCCAGGAAAGTGGGAGGCTGGCTAGAGCCGAGAGGCAACTACAAGCCTCACTCTTTTTCCTTATCCCACAGACCGCTGCGGAGCGTGTCTGGACGTCTGCTGTGGATGCAGAATTCGAGAATCCTGCGGGGTTTGTGTTTCCTTACTCCCGTCTTGCATCCCCAACAGGCACTTGGTGCAACGAGCAGACCATGGCAGAGGCCACAGGTGCTGATGAGAGCCTCTGACTCCCTCCAGACTACCCTGTCCTGGGGTGCATCAGGCACAGCATCTCCTGCTGATTAAGGAATAGGACTATTCTGCTCTGCACTTGGGTAGCCTCACCTCGAGCCTTGGGGGCAATTTTGGGCACGGCAATGTAAAACAGACAATCTATAAAATTATTATAGAGCTTCCAAAGGAGGACTACGAAGATGGTGAAGGGTGCGGAGGGGAAGCCTTGTGAGGAGCAGCTGAGGTCACTTGGTCTGTTCAGCTTGGAGGAGAGACTGAGGAGAGACCCCATCGCAGTCTGCAGCTTCCTTACGATTAAAGTAGAGAGGGAGACACCGATCTTTTGTCTGTGGTGACCAGTGACAGGACCCAAGAGAATGGCTCTAAAGCTGTATCAGGGGAGGTTTAGGTTGGATATCAGGAAAAGTTTCTTCACCCAGAGGGTGGTTGGGTACTGGAAAAGGCTCCCCAGGGAAGTAGTCACAGCACCAAGCCTGACGGAGTGCAACGGGTGTTTCGACAATACTCTCGAGCTTTCTCTGTGATTACTGGGGTTGTCCTGTGCGGGTACAGAAGCTGGGCTTTGATGGTCCTATGTGTTCCTTCCAACTCAGACTATTCTATGATTCTACGATTTCCTAGGTTAGTTCAGCACTGACACCAATACAAGTCCATTCTTTTAAACCAGGTGCACGTGTTCAGCCCGCAAAATCTCCTCAGGCTGCCACTGGCGAGGGCACCGGTTCTGCTCCGATTGCCCTTTCCTTGCGGTGCCACACTGCGCTGCAGGTGAGGCTCCCGGGGCGAGCGGATAGGCAAAAGCCCCGCCCGCCTTTCTGGCCACATTTCCCTCTGTCCCACCTTCCGCAGGCTCTGGCCGCAGACTGCTGGAGCCTGGGGAGGACCGGGACGGGGTCAGCGGATGTCGCTGCCGCCAGCACGGCTCGGAGCAGGTGCGGGAGCGCAGTCTCGCCAGCGCGATCAGGGGCCGCGCTGCGCCGCCTCTCTGCGGCCTCGGCGGGGCGGGGCGGCCACCGCGCTCCGCCCCGGCTCGCCCCCGTTCCCGGGGCCGGCGGCGCGATGGCGGTGGCCGTGCTGCGGCCGCTGGACGCGCCGCCGGCCGAGCTGTCGCCGGCCACGGCGCTGCTGCTGGCGCCGGCGGGTCTGTGCGCGGCGCTGCGCGGGCGGGGCGGCGCGCTGGTGCTGGCGGTGCGGCCGGCGGGGCGCGGCGGGGCGCAGCCGGTGCTGCTGAGCGCCGTGGCGCTGGAGGCGGGCGGGCGGCGCGGCGCGGAGCTGTGGCTGCGCGGGGCGCTGCTGCGGCGGCTGGGGCTGGCGGCGGGCCGGAGGGTGGCCGTGTGGCCCGTGCGGCGCCCGCCGGCGCTCGCCTGGGTGCTGCTGGGGGCGGCCGGGCGGGCGGGAAGGCTGGCGGGCGGCGCGGTGCTGGCGCGGCGGGGCGAGGCGCTGCCGGGGCCGGGCCCCGGGCCGGGCCCGCTGGTGCTGGAGGCGCGCCCGGCGCTCCAGGGGTTGCTGGGCGGCGGAACGCGCACCGCCCTCGCTCCCCCGCCGCCGCCGCCC